ACAAATTACTGAATACCATTAATATAAAATAATTATCATTACGATGCACAAGATATTAGATTAATAATAAAATCCAATACATTCTCAATTAAGAGTCGACTTCAACGATAACAAATCTAACAAATTTAACAACTTCGCAAAATGACACCAAATACCATCACTTACCCCTACCACATTACAAACGGGAGAGACCTAGCGTCTGCTAAGGGCTAGCACAATAAAGCCACATGAATAGTATTAGTAATAATAATAATAATTTTGTAGCCATCAAAGGGTAGCTCCTGACGATGTCCGTTACAAGCGTTGGACGACGCTCAAAAACAACAAAGGAACAGATATGTATTGAGTTCGAGTTTGCACAGTGAATAAAAAATCTTTGTAAAGGATTTTTATCCTCGATTTCCTGATAAATTTATTACGAATAAGTGGCAGCTCGAACCCAGTCAAGTTAATCCTTATATATCATGTATAAAGAAAAAAAAAAAACGTATTAATGGAACGGTTTGTTTAAAAATTCCTGTTAAGATCTTTTTCCTTTTCATTTTTTAAAACTAAGCGTTGATTCACGAAGACATTTTCATGTTACACTATCACAACAAATTAAAGGAAAATAATTTGGAAATATTCTTTGATTAACGAAATTATCAATTCTACCTACTAATTATGAAATGAACATTGAATTTTCGGTATTACCTTTCTGAAAATTGTGTCCATGAAAACAGTTACCTGATGGAAGTTACGACTAAATCAAAACAACGAATAGGGAATTCCTTTCTAACCTTTTAAAAGTAACCCAATTATATTTTTGTTGTAATTGGCAAATGAAAAATATAATAATAATATAAAATTATAAAGAAATAAAAAAAAAAATAAAAAATAAGAATAAATAAATGCAAGTAGTTCAAGAGATATAGACCCGAAATAAAACCAGAGAAAGTACTAATAAAATGCAGCTATGAAAAGATATGTACTAACTTTTATCTTTTTCGGAAAAAAATGTAAGTAGCCAAGATTTGTCACAAAGCAGAACAGGATGAGCTAGAAAGAATATTTGCAAATGGCATGTTATGTAAACGTTATTATTAACGCATATATTACCGAATTCATGATTTGATTGCAATTTTTTCCATTTTTTCCTGGCATGCTACCCATCCATGTAAAAAGAAAAAAAAAATCAAATATTTTCTTTTGGTCCCTTTTGAAAGAATAGCGGGCATGATAGCTGGGTACATGCGCGGGCACGAAGAGATGACGTCACAGGCGGATAAACTACTCTAAGCAGGCAGTTTCCTCGTTTTCTCGCCTGTGACGTCAGCTTTACAGGCCGACCATGCCAGCTTATTTGAACATGCCTTTACAGTGTGATATGTTGAAGTAAAATCTAAGTATTCATTTCAAAACGTCAGGTATTGAATGGTTTTACACGGGAATCTTATGTAATTTCTATCTTATTTCTCTATTGCGAAGTATTCATTCGTCCATACCTTTTCGAAACTTGCCACAAAAGCTAAGCTAGTACTTTAATGGCATGTCCTCAGCTTGTTTACGATCTATTAATTAACAACTTCAAGTATGTTCTTTACACCCATGGTAAAAACGCAGTCAGTTAATCCTAAAACCCTTTTATATTACGTCTTTTACACGTAGAACACTTGAGAATCCTAGTGACAGGCTGTAGTACAATTCAACAATAATGTGTACAGGAGCGGATCCAGGATATTCTAGAGGGGGGAGGGGGACTGCTTAAAGGAAGGTTGTCAAGCAAGGAAGTTAAGAGTGGGATATTTAACAATCCTTCACTATTACCCATTTCAATAAAGCCTTAATCGATTATTATTCAAATAAGGTCACATTTCTTTGTACGTGTATTTGTAACTAAACAGTATTACAACTTCAAAATTAGATTTTATGTATGTGTGTGTAACATAGGTACTCGATTCTTGTAATTCATTTCAAACATGTTCGTGGTTTGATGCAGGTTACATTAGTTGTGTTAAATGAGGGAGATAGATTGTGCGCGCGCGCGTGTGTAAGGGGGTTCACGTTTACAGAAGCTAATCTTGGCAATATTGATATGGGACTTAGGCTGGCTTCTGGGAGGAATCAGCAAGGCAGGTAAGTAGGTGACCAGTTCTTGCTGTATATAGGACAAGCATTTGGAAGGATAGAAGCAGTTCCAGTACAAGTATTAAGAGGTGAGGTTCGGCATGAATGGGTTTGCCAGTGATGTCAGTTATGGTAGATAGTGTACGAGCTTGGGTTTCTGATGGGACTGACTAGGTGTGACCGATCAGAGCGACTGCGAAATGTAACTTTGCCTACTTGTTTTTGGAGGTTTTGTTGAAAGAAGAGTATTCAAGAGTAGGCGGCTGTGGGGGAAATCAAAGAATCGATCCCACTTGGCTGGGCCAAAGTACTCAAAAGGTAGAAGGACGAGGGCGGGAGGAAGTTCTGTGGTTCTGTGGGGTGGTAAGGATGAAGAGGAGGAATAAGATGACAGACATTGAAGAAGACTGCATTAGGAGATGGAGAGGAGAATGTTGGGAGAGAAAGGGGTGCATTCTTAAGGTTGAGTGATAACCTGTGTAGGTTGTTTGGCATGGATAGAGTGGTTAGTAAACGTCGAGGATTGGATATAAATAGCAGTGGTCGGAGCCGTGGTCAAAGGAGGGGAAGGGGTCAACCATGAAATTCGAAATCACAGGCTAGTTGACAAAGGGGGGAAGCCTTAATAACCCTCAGGGTAAAGAATCTTATTTGGCCTGAATAAAATTGGGAAAAGAATCTGTTTACCCCTCAGGGTCCCCATAGAGGTTAAGGGCTAGGCAACTAACAAAGAAAACCATGCTCATGACTCCTAGAGGCCTTTCACATGACTGGGACAAAGCCAACTTTTCATTCTTTCAGCAGGGCTATCACACCTTAGTAATGGGATAGAAGGGGTTGAAGATATGGAAGAGGAAAGGGGGATTGAAAGGGGTGCCGCAGTGTTAGAATGCTTGTGCATCTGCTTGCGCTCGTCCGAGGAGCGCAAGTTGTTTGTTCTTAACCAAAGTGTACTGCAAGTTGTGTGGATAATTATGTAGCATGTGAGTGGTAGGGCGAGAGGAAAGTTACACAGCGAGGAAGAAAGCCGAGAGCATGGGCTAGAAATATTTGGTACCTGACCTTTAGATCTGAATTTGTATATACATATTAGCCAATTAAGTAATTTATTCCAAGATATATTTTTACATGAACACCTTTTTGTGTAATCTCCATATGACCAACACTGTCAGTTAAGAGCAACTTCAAACCTTCATTGACATTAAAGATTGCTGTGCTCCAGAACAAACTTAATATACCAGACTACTGCTTGGAGAGAGAGAGAGAGAGAGAGAGAGAGAGAGAGAGAGAGAGAGAGAGAGAGAGATTGTGTGGGCTGCACATTTGTATGATAAGACCAAGGAACGTACAAAAATACAAGTGCACATACATTAAAATTTTATTCTTAAAAACGGTATTAAAAGTTATTAATTTACCCATAGACTTCCTTAATTTAAAAAGCTATGAAAGTCAACCTCTGACTCTCGAGTAGAATTATATAACTTTCCTCCACCCACTTCGTGTTGATTGCCCTCGGAGTCGCCACACGCAGGGAGCTCTCGAGTGAACACCTTCAGCAAACCTGACATCGCTAGTTTCTTTACGTCGTCGGCCACTTTCCGGAACTCTTCCCTTTTGACTTTCGAGAACCCCCTCTCTGCCATTCGTTGGACTCCTCCGGCTCGTAGGACTTTCCCTATCCCGTGCTCTACTAGACTTCGCATTCCGGTTTCGAAGGCCTTCTTTACGATGGGGTTCGAGCTATTTTTCTTTTTCTGGATGACTCTCTGGGTGGCCTTCCGGATGCCACCGAGCCCTACTTTGGCCGCTAGCGAACCAGCCATCTTGACTTGAGTACTTGCACTTACTGGAGCCATCGTGTCTTCTCACTTACGACAGGAAAAATGGAGTATCTGTTGCTTGTACTATATCTGCGAAAAGAAAATGTTCTTTAACTTTACGTACTTTCAACTACACACAGCCCTGATTCTAATCTCATCTGTTATGTTAATCAAGGTTGTGTGAAGCAAGAGTATTAGCACATTTATATTAGGTGCATCTTGGCTCCAAAATATTTACTTGAAAGTGTTTACTTCAGGATACAAAGCCTTCTGTCAAAATCTTATGATCTACATTTCCTTCGATCATCTGCTCATCTGACACTTGCTAAAGAGTGAGATACGTTTCATTAAATCTATTCAAAATAATTTAGCAATTCATAAATGTATTGTCTGCAATACATTTATGAACTGCTACATGGCACTCTACATAATACATTATGAACAAAGCTGAACATCAACTAAGTACTTATCACTCGCATCTATAATGAATATGCTAATCAATATGCTAAACAAATGGCTATCTAGCTTTTGACCCCAATAACACCAATGGGCCACTGACCCACCAAACTAACTAGCAACAGAAAACCATTGTAACTCCGCAGTTTAAAATTAGAGGACATTTCTACAAAAATACAAGAGCTGTACTTGTGTGTGTTACATGACAGAGCTATCACGTAAATTGCTTAATAATAAGTTTTAAACATCAAGGAAGGAAAACTAGGAATGGAGAGTAGAGGAACTAGGAAGGGGTAGGAGGGATGAAAAGTGAATAGAAGAAAAAAAGTTACCGCGCGAGATGCACCGATACAGGGAAATATTCTTGAGAGCATAAGAATTCTAGTCAACACAAGTCATTAATTCTTCGTTGCCACTGTACAGTCTTAATAAACCCAGAATCGACGCAGCACCGAAAATGAAACCTTTCTCGCCGGCCTTGTCAGCGAATGGCCGGAAATACTCCTATCGAAACTGGCGCCCGGAGAGACATGCGCGTGCACAGGTTCTTCAAACCTATTCTCGTACAAAACTGTATAAATGAATCTTAACACGTAAATGAGGTATAACATTAATAAAGGACATTGAAAGATAAGTGTGGAACAGCGACACTTATTAACAAAACATTTTAACAAGTGCTTAGTAAGATGAACTACTTAGTACATTGCAGTAACGAGTTATGCGATCATTCCAATGTTTACTCTCGACATGTAAATATGATAGATTTAGTTAAAATTGGGCTCTCACCTCTTCATTTACATATAGCACTTTTGGAAAGCATTTGCACAAAAATGCCATCAACAGAAGAAAATTGTCTTTTGTATTTTTCATTTCATATAGGATTTATTAACCAACTCAGCCACTACCTCGTACTGCATATTATCCGAAAATTGTGTTAGGAACTGATGTGTGATCTCAATTTCTTTAAGCATACATCCATTAGCATTGAATATGAGGACGCTGCAGATGTAACTATGTTTATGATGGTACAAGTTACCGAGACTGACATGCAGAGATAGAGGGAAATGGCCATCTTTCAGAGCATAAGAGTCAAATAGTTTAAGCTGCAGCAGCCTCATTTACTACTAAGTGACGAAAATATCCCCAGCATATAATTGATTAGTCCATGTTGCTCATTTTGTTTACTTCACGAGGAAAAACAAAGTTTGGCTCGTCTTTGATTATACCGTTATTTTTGTTTTCGGAATAAAAAGATAGTTATAGACGTTTTTAAATGGCATGTATAACATTTAGACATTTACAGGTTTATAGTATCATCCCCACCCCCATTTGGAACCATGAAATCGAATATATCGATTACCTCCCTCCCCCTTCTTTGGAACTTAGTCTCTGCGAGGGTGCGTCGCGGTCTTCAACAATTACTTTTTTATCGTTCTTATCTAAACCTGTTGAACCCCATAATTTCCCAGATATACATCATGACATCCCCTGCTAATGAGAATCAAATCAAGATTGATGGAGAAATGGTAATTTGCAGAACAATGCCAAGAATCAGGAAATCATTGGATTTTCTACAGAAAAACTTTTTTTTCAACTTAGTCGGATATTTTACCTTTATGACAATCAGGACAGACAATATTTACATCAGATTTATTCTTATGTGATGAGAACGAATCTGATGATCATTTCTGTAGCATTCACAGCTGACGATCTTGATGTGTCAAGTTCCGATAGCAGGGGAGGACATGAAATATATCAGGGAAATTATGGGGTAAAAGGCTTAAATAATGAAAAAAAATGCGAAAAAATAGCACAAACGCAAAAAATAAATAAATAAAATAAAAAAAAAAAAAATTGCCATCCGATATCCTTCCCTACCTTTTGTAAACGAAAAAAATTCTGGCTATTCATTTTTCTATACTTATTGTATCATGCATAGATTAAGCCCACATACCGTTACAATTTTTTTTTTTTTTTTAGGGGGGGGGCTTTAAAAGATAACAATACAGCATCTACACAATATTATCGAGTATGTACAGCCTACATCGACCTCAAGAAGGCGTTCGATACGGTGCATCGGGAGTCACTTTGGGAGATCCTGAGGCTGAGAGGAATTCCCACAAGGATTATTGGACTAATAGCAAGCCTGTATACTGGTACTGAAAGTGCTGTAAAGTATGGTGGGGGCCTGTCAAGCTTCTTTCCTGTTAGTTCAGGAGTGAGGCAAGGCTGTGTCCTTGCACCAACTCTTTTCAACACTTGCATGGACTGGATACTGGGCAGAGCTACTGTTCAAAATCATTGTGGAGCAACGCTGGGCAATATCAAGCTTACAGACCTTGACTTTGCTTGATGACGGTTGCGAATGCCCTTGGGTCTAGAGGTCTCCTGGACCAAGACCAAGGTCCAGGAATTTGGGGACTTGTTAGGAGAACCTGTTCAGTCGGTACGTGCTTGCGGCGAGGACATTTAAGTCACAGAGAGCTTTACATACCTTGGTAGTGTAGTTCATAACTCTGGGATGTCAGACCATGAAGTCAGCAGACAGATTGGCCTGGCAGCAGGGGTCATGAACTCTCTCAACAAAAGTATTTGGAGATGTCGGTACCTGTGCAGGACCAAGCTACGGGTTTTCAAGGCCCTGATAATGCCAGTTTTGCTATACGGTAGCAAAACCTGGACATTGTCCTGTGCCTTGGAGGCTTGTCTTGAAGCCTTTTGTAATAGGTCCTTGCACCAGATCATGGGGTACTGTTGGCGGGACCATGTGTCCAACCAACGGTTGCACCGTGAGACTGGCACAGGACCTGTTATCTGCACAATCCGTAATCGCCAACTCAGGCTATACGGCCACCTGGCTCGCGTTCCTCACGATGATCCTCCCCATCAGGTCGTCGTCTGTTCGAGACAACCCTGGGTGGAGGAGAGCCTGTGGGACGACCGAGGAAGTCGTGACTTGGGCAGATCGACCAAACCTGCCGTGAAGAACTAGAGATGGGCCGAGTCCCTGCCTGGCGTCTAGCCATGAGGGATCCTCGTAGGTGGAAGCGAAGGGTGGATGCGGCTATGCGCCCCCGTCGGCGTCAGCCCCCTTGATGATGATGATGATGATTTACAGCAGCAAATAACATTTCTTACACTGCGCAAATCGAGGTGTCACCCATATTACAAGCAAGAGGTGCCTGAACAAATGCACAGGATTTTCAATTATATAAATGTTATTGCATGAATTGCACATGAAACCTTTTGGAAAGTATTCTACACTGCATGTGCGTGACATTTTCACAAAGCCAAAAGTATTACAGGAAATGCTATTGACCAGTCATGTGACACCGCGTCTGGAACAGGTATGTGTAGTTGAGTAAAGCGAGTTTAATTAACAAAACGGATCTCAGGTGCGGCAGGTGTAACCCTCACTACTATTGTGAAATATCTGAATACTTTGCGAAAAATGATGACTTTATTGAATTTTTCAGAGCACAGTTTTGCCAAGGGCGGTAAATTGTCCACATTGTAATTTACCTTGCAAATACCGTGAAAATCCGTGGTATTGTGGCAGATGAAAAAACTTCGAAAAACTAAACGTCGGAAATGTAGCGTTTTTCGATCAGCGATTACAGTGGCACGTTTCTGCAAGGGACACATTTGGCACCATTTAAAGTAGTTATGTTTGTTAGTCATTGGTTGCAAAAGTATTGGGATCATGAAACTCAAAATGTATCGGCATGTCAAAACTGAGTAGCGTAGATTGGAGTGTTTGTTCTGAAGTACCCCAAAATGTTACAAAATAAAAATTCAATAGGAGATGCCGGGGTAATCATTGAGATCGACGAGAAGCTGCTCGTATGGTGAAGATAACAGGGGCAGACAGGTGGGGGTCTTTGGGAGTATTGAGCATGTCAGTAAAAAAAATGTATTATCAACTTTTGGCCAGTGACCGGAGTGCAGACACGCTTATACCCCTAATTAAGAAATATATAAAACCAGACAGCATGATACAGTGATGGATGGGCCTATACCATGGTTAAAAACATCTGAGTATTAATCATTCTGAAAATTTTGTAAACCCACATGACCCACAAATCCATACACAGAACATTGAAAGATTGTGGCGCGATATGAAACATTGGGTTAAAAGGCCCGGAATAAAAGCAGGGTATTATGTATTTTGTAACAGCCGTGGGTTTTTCCGGTCATGTCTTGCCATTTTATGTACACATACTTAGAAGGAATATCATAAAAAAAAAAAATAATAAATGCAAAGTTTAAAAATATTGTGCTACTTAAATATTAACAAAGGTTCAGACTTGACGCAGCAATATTAAGGTGGCCGCACTACATATACCGAGGGAATTATAACAATTATTAACTAGTGTTCGTACATGTCTGTACGAACGGCGAAATACCCTTAAGGGGTCCGTGGCTTGCCCCCGGTAAGGAAATATCGAAAAAAAGGGGATCAAAAAGGGGGCAAATACCCCCAGGGAAGGGGGTCCGGGTTAGGTTAGGGATTTTGTTAGGATTTCGGCAACACCGGCGCGGCGCATCTTGCGACGGCGACGGACTCGGATTTTGCTTTTTTTTTTTTTTAATTTTCACTTTTGATTCCACTACTTCTCCCGTTTGTGTGCCCCCCCCTTCCAACCCTCTATTCCCCACGGGTCACCCAAGATTGAAGGGGGAAGGGGGGAAAAAAAAAAAAAAAAATGTGCGGCTGTCTTTCTTAGAAATACCCTTACCGCTTTAATGTGGTGGGGGAGAGTTGTGCAGCGGCCCAGAGAAATGCACAAACGCTTTTTCGGTTTATATTGCACAGAAAAGGCATAGCGAGCAAAATATTGCTTGCAATATTGTTGCAACTTATCTGGTAGCTATTACCAACTTTTGATGGCGCTCCATAGACGCTCCATTTTGCGTGTGTACGTTTTTATGGGACCAGACAAATTTGATTGGGTAGAGGTTGAAGACCGCGACCCGCGTAGATAGAGGAAAATGGACACCGCCATCTTATAGAGCGGAAGAAATAGAGTAGGATAGAAGTAATCTTTAGATGCACAGGCCTTATATTTACCGTTAAACGGAAAAAAAAAAACGCGGCGCTGCGGCAGAGTTCTTTGTTTATGTTTACATTTTACAGCTCGTTTTCTATATTTTCTGTTATTCCATTTTCTATAATTGCGTTTTCTATGAAGGTCACGTTTTCGGTGCACCACTTTCAACCAACCTGGAATCATTGCCGATTACTATTTTTATACATTATTTTATGTAATTTATAATGACATTTCCTCAAATCAATTTATGCTTATACATTATATGTTGTATTCTGTGTAATGTGGTTAATTTACCATTACTATAATCTTTATCATAACCTTGATTGATTGTTAATCTAACAATGCTACTGCCTTGTTACATCAATTGCCTCCCAATCGGAACAATACCCAATCTTATTACGTAGTCACTTGCCTGTAAGCCACCGTCATGGCAACTAAATTTTTGTGCGGAGTGTGACATGGGGTAAGTTTAAATGTTTATTATTTATATTATTAAATGTTTATGTATTTTCAAATATAAAATATTTTTGCCTATATCATAATGGATCAATTTTTTTTTTTTATTATATCATGATAGGTATGGGCACTTCTGGGAAAAGTACGGCACCCAGCCTTCCCTCTTGCTCGATCTTTGCCGTACATGGCCTCATTTTGGAGGCCATGAAATGCCCAAAATGCGACGGCGAATGCCGTCGCGATGATAATATAAATTCATTCAGGTGCGACAAGACCCCCCCAAAAAATAATCGAAAAGTTAGATGCAATTTCAAAAAATCACTTTTTAAGAACACCTGGTTTGATAATAGTAAGCTCGATTTTGAAACTAATTTAAAATTTGTAAATTTGTATCTGCGAGAGAGGTTTTCTTACGCATCTGCACGGAGCGAGTTTAATTTCCCAAACCGGACTATTTGCGATTGGGCGAGCTTCTGCCGGGAGGTTTTAATTATCTGGCGTTTTGAAAATCAATCCGACAAAATTGGTGGGTCAGGGGAAATTGTCGAGATTGATGAATCTAAATTTGGTAAACGTAAATATAACGTAGGTCGTGTAATAGAAGGTCAGTGGGTTTTTGGAGGAGTATGCCGCAAGAGTAGGGATTTTTTCCTCGTTGCCGTGGAGACGCGTGACACACTTTTGCTTAAAGTAATTAAAGAGCGTATCCACCCAGGGACAACGGTCATTAGTGATTGTTGGAAGGCATACAACTGCTTGGAGAAAGAGGGCTATCAACATTTAACTGTGAATCATTCATATAATTTTGTTGACCCCAAAAGTAAAGCGCACACAAACACGATCGAGCGGAAATGGAGGGAAGCGAAGATCAAAGTGCCCCGCTTCGGCAGGAGGACATACCACTTCGCCGGGTACTTGGCTAAGGCCATTTTTCAAATCATGTACCCGGCGGAGAACAAAAGATTCCATCAGTTCCTCCTTGCCGCAGCTCGCCTGTACCCTCCGCACTGACGGTATGTGTTAAATGTATTGATAATGTGATTTGGTTATAATTAGACATCGTGCTAATAAGGGGTGTGGTAAATTATTTTGGGCAATCCTAATTAAGGCAGCCGCGGAAAGTGTATTTGAATTATTTAATATTGTTCGTACATGCCGGGGAATTCAATAATTTGTGGGGACCTCACTGGCCGTGCTTTAATTCAAAATCAAAGGTTGCCTTTCTACAAATCTCGATGTCTCGCGAGATTTCTGAAAACTACGGCGAAATTTCACCCCCAGGGAGATATCGGCAACACGGACACCGGCGCGGCGCATGTTGCAGCGGCGACGAATTTTCGTTCGTCTTTCGATTTTATTCCTAAATTTTAAATTTCTATTAAACTATTTCTCCCGTGGGTGTCTCCCCTACGTGCCCCTGAAGATTGAAATGTGTAGGCGACAAAAACGAACTTGGGGCGGGTGTCTGACTTATAATTTACCCGGCGGGGAAGTCTGATAACAGAGGCGCGACAAAAGTAGGTTAGTACGTTTTAATTAAAAGAACCGGCAAATTGCACATGTATATTGCACGGAATATATATCATAATTATTAATAAAATGCGTGTTACAATAAGTGTTTAAGGATAATTTTACAATAACCGATTATTTAAAATTATTAATGGTTTGACACAAGTTCGTTGGTTAATGTTGTTTCGGTATTCAGGTTTGTATGATTACGAAAATGTGTTATAATGAAAAAAAAAAAAAATATCGATTTCGTCCGCATTACGTTTTGCGCTTGTTTAATTTAGCGGTGTTTCATTCGGTGTCCGTCGGACAAAGTTTGGCTCTTATTTTTTAATTATACGTCCTTTCTATTGTTGCCGTGATAAAAATTTGGGCTCGTCTTTCATATGATTACAATTTGTATAGATGTTTAAGTGGTATTTTTTTGGTAATTGTTGAAGACCGCGACGCACCCTCGCAGAGACTAAGTCGAAAAAAATGATGTTTTTCTGCATGAAATCCAAATTATTTCATCGATTTTCGGCGTTGTTTCTTTTGCGAATGAATCGTTCAGGAGATCGAGTACCATTTCTCCATCGACGATCTTGATTTGATAGTCCCGTTAGCAGGGGAGGGCATGAAGTATATCAGGGAAATTATGGGGTAAAACAAGCAAATAAGAATAACGATAACGATAAAAAATGCGTAAAACAAGCACAAAAAGCGCTTAAAATCGGCCAATGAAATTCTACGGATGTAACCGCCATCTTTGAAAGTTTACGGACTGACGCGAAATAAATAAAAAACTACGGGAACCCATCCCACATTTCGGTAAAACTACGGGAATTCACACGTTCCAACCCCCAAAAACATTGACCAATAAACCAACCTAATACATCAATATAAATTGCCGTGACTAGGCGTGCCCTTCGGGCACTGCCCGAGGGGAGGGTTGATGGGGGGCAAGCCCCCCAACACCTCCCAGGACACATTCTCTCCACCACGGTATGTACGGCAAGACAGAGCTGCATTCACACCGTAAAATAATAAACCAAATACCTTTATATCCGGAAACGTGAAACTTTCGTTTCTTTGTACTGTTGGTATTGCTTCGATTTTACCTTTCGTCCTTAAGCTCTTGATGGGCTCAAGATATAAAACTGGGATGGTTACTGAAGTCGAATTATTCTTCGATGCCACTGTAAAGGTCTTAAAAAGAACCCAGAATCAACACAACACTAGAAACGCAACACTTCTCACCGGCTTTCAATCTCGAAATGAGCGGTATGGTGAGCTGTCAACCTGTGACTGGCACAAGAAAGTGTGAAACACTCGATGCGCAGGATTCGATATGAGGGTATAGATAAATATAAAAATATGCAAAGTATAACAATACTAAAAGACTTTAAAAGGTATAAATGCGTACCAGCAGACAGATAATTAGCCAAATACCGTTTTGACAAGCACGTAATGATACACGGACTAGTTCACGAACGCAAAAATGCGTTCGTGGGTCAGTGTCGTGTTTTTCCTAGCAAGGTAAACAAGCTCATCGACTTTGAATTTGAAAGGCGGCCGCGCGTTATATTTTCGTCATTTAGCGGTAAATATAATGCCTGTGCATCTTAAGGTTACTTCTATCCTACTCTATTTCTTCGCTTACCTAGGGAATTAGGCTCTGCGAGGGTGCGTCGCGGTCTTCAACAATTACAAAAAAAAAAAAAAAAAAAAAAATATGCACAGCTGTCTTATTTAGAATTAGCCTTACTAATTTAATGTGGTGGGGAGAGTTGTGCAGCGGCCCAGAGAAATGCACAAAAACTCCTTTTAGGTTTATTTCGCGCAGAAAAGGCATAGCGAGCAAAATATTGCTTGTAATAATTTGCTGTCTCTATACCAACTTTTGATGGCGCTCCATAGACACTATTTTTGCGTGTGTATGTTTGTTACGGGACCAGACAAATTTAATTGAATTATTTACGGTTTGGTGATTATATCCTTTTTTCTTTAATAGGTTATATCCTCTCTACTGGTCTGTATATTGTGTCACCAGGATATACATGTTCTTTAATAATTTTGGTTCATGTTAGAATTTTGGTTCCTTACTTTCGTAAAACATACTTACTTGGTGCTACGTTCATAGGCCCCAAAGACCCAAAATCCTTTAAAGGCCTTTCAGCCACGATTAAATTTTCCTCTAGATATTTGAGAGAAAATGGTCTTAAGTATATATTAAAAAACCGACATTTTCACTGGGTTTGATCTTAGCCTTCTCCAACCAGGTGTCTTTAAATAATGAAGCTAAAGTTACATTTCTTCAATTTTGTTTTTTGTATTGGTTTTCTGTAGCACTGAAACCTATATCAACTTTTAAGCGCACTCGTTTGCACACAATTTGCACTCAATTGTTTTCGGCAGAACGCAGTGGTTGTAAAATCATTGTAGTATCGTCCTGCTTATAAAATTTTGCTTTTGTGTCTTCAAATGTTTAATCACAGCCTGTGCACAACGCCATAGTGTCACTGCATGCATGAAGGGCCGCAAATTGCTACCATTACAATTCCCTAACAGTGACGGGTGCACAAGTGAAATGTATGTAGAACTGCTAGGTCTAATATTCTTATGCATTTTTCAGCAGCTTGTTCTGAAACCTGAAAACTTTATTTCCTGAATATGCGACGGAAAACGACAACGGATTCACACATACTACAGCGCTAATCATCGGATTCAAAAAGGAAATATTTGCGAGGTGGGAGGGCTGAGAAACAAAAATTACCGAAAATTGAAAGTCCGAGGCTGGTTAAAAAGAAATTAACCGTTTATAGCCAGATAACCGTACCGGGGAGTCATTCATTGGGCAAAATTAACGGGTTTGTAGACTCGCGCATGATTTTTATAGCGATATCTTCCTGCGCATGAATTTTATTACACGCTACTGTTCCTTTTTTTCCCCTTGTCACCAGCAGTTCAATCACAATCCCCACCCCGTTATATCACGCCCATCCCCTATTTCACAAAGCCTCGTACAACATCAATACAACTATTTATCACATCCAGTTGTAAGGATATTATTCCTTACCTTCAAATTTCGGTGAAGTGGGTGCGAGGGTCGTCTGTACGTCCTGCCACGTTTGTCGCTCCTTGAAAATGAGGCCGTCGAATGCTCCGGCAACGATTATAGTTTCGTTTACAGTTTCGAACACTTGGGATTCACTCTTATTCGCACAGCGGAAATTGCCGACGTGTCAATAGAGTAGGAATTATAGGATGTTAGAATGAAAAGACCTATTACCATTAGTGACAATAGTGCTGATACGTTTATTACATGGCATCAGTCTATATGTAGATATCGTTTGATGTACATACATGTAATATATTCGTAAACTGATTATGATATGCACGCGTATATTGTTATTGACATACTCATACCCTGCTCACTATGTTATTACATTAATAGTCATAGTGCTGATACGTCTATAACATGGCATTAATCTATATATATACACACATCGTATTATGTACACACACGTGATATAATCATGTATTGATTCTGATATGCATGTTATTCACATACACATACCCCGCTTACTGTCTGTGTTATTACATTTATATCCAAAGTGCTGATACGTTTATAATATGACATTAGTCTATATAGTATTATACATAGTATTATATACATGCATATGATGAATACATATATTAATTTTGATATACACGTGTATATTGATATTCACATACACATACCCTGTTCTCTGTCTGTGTTATTACATTAATAGTCATAATGCTGATAGGTTTATAACATAACACTAGTCTATATATAGACATTGTATTATGTACATACAAGTGATATATCCATATATGGAATATGATACACGTATTGTTGTTCATATAACATTCACTGCTCACAGCCTATGTTATTACTAGGAGTAAAACAGCCTGTTTTACTAAATATTAGTAAAATAGATTCATCAACTGCTTGAAAACAGATTATGATTACGATTACATGACTGTGATTTACATAATTACACATAATTGAAAAGAAAAAAAGGAAGCATACTCAAAAAATATAAGTAATGGTATCTTCTAATATCGTTTAAGGTAGTTGCTTGTAGATTGTCCATTGAACAAGCCAATCTTACAGGACTGAGGTGATTCCGTGTAGTATATGCTTGTTGTATGTGTTCTCTTATGCACAGTTTCTTCGTCTTTCATATCACTTGTAATTCATTATTATTATTATTATTGTTATTATTATTATCATTGTTGTTATTATTATTGTGATTATTATTGCTATTGTTGATATCATCATCGTCATCATCATCATTATCATCATCATAACATCATCGTTATTATTGCTGTTATCATTCTTATAATCATTTTGATTATCATTATCATTACTATTATCGTCATCATTGTTATTGCTATTATTGTTGCTGTTTTCATCATTGTTATCATTATCGGTGTTGTAAGTGTTGTCTTTGTTATTATTCTTATCATTATGATAATGATGATGATTATTATTAGTAGTATCATTATCATCATTATTACTCTCATAATAGTCATCATTATTATTATTATTATTATTGTCATTATCATCACAATTGATAGTGGTAGTAGTACTAATATCATTAACATCATTATCGTTATCGATGTTTGTACTATCATTTATATTGCTATTATTATCATCATTGTTATTCTTGTTATCATTATAATTATCATTATTATTGCTATCATTATCATTGTTATGATTGGCATTACCATCGTCACCATCACCATCATTATCATCACCAGCAGCATCCCATGTTTATCCTCATCACTATTCTCATATTTATGATAATACAAATTACGAAAAGTGTGAGTACATGATACACATTTTCATTTCATTCATACAAATACAAACACATGCACGGGACATACGCTCTCTCTCTCTCTCTCTCTCTCTCTCTCTCTCTCTCTCTCTCTCTCTATATATATATATATATATATATATATATATATATATATATATATATATATATATATATATGCCTACACACACGCACACACATATACATAAGTATGTGTGCATACATATGTATATAAATGTACATATACACGCGCAAACACACACACACACACACACACACACACACACACACACACACATATATAAGTTGGGTGACATGTGAAAAAGAAATGACAAGCAGAATGACATTAAAAGAATAACGATTATGAAGGAGAAAGGGATAAAGATCTTAAAGAGAGGGAGATGGGAAGGAGAAAGGAAGGAAAAGAAAATGGAACTATATAGAATAACGGGGTAGGAAGGAGAAAAGAAAGGAAAGGAGCCAAAAGAGAAAGGGGAGATGGAGAATGAGAAACGAAAGAGAAGAACAAAAGAAGGAGAAAGAAAAATTACCTCAGAGTGAAAAGAGGGATGAGAAAGTGAAGATAAAGGGATAAGGGAGCGAAAGGAAGGTGAAAGAGAAAAGGAAATAAGTGGACCCAAGTAATTGAACATGCTACTACAAAATATAGAAGACATTAACAGCTTTTGTAATTTCAAAACGAAATGAAAAGGACACCTTAAATAATCAACTAAATATAAATACATCTATGTAAAAAAATAACCACTGTAATTAATGGAATAAAGTGTCTTGACTTTGACTTTGAAGAGAAGAGGAATAGAGTAGGAGGGGAAGGGATAAGACTTGAAATGGGAACGGAGGAATTAATTTAATGAGTTTTGGGAGTCAAGGGGGTGGAGCGAAAAGGAGAAGGGTGAGTAAACTGCTCGTTAAGTGTTATCGGGTTGAATCAGTTACAGATGTACGGTTTACCTCATGATATATGAAATAAACAAAAAGGTTGATACAAAGGAATAAGATATAAAGAATAAGATTAAAAGCACAAGGTTACGAATGATAGTACGTTGATAATATATGTGTTCACACACACACACACACGCATATATATATATATATATATATATATATATAATATATATATATATATATATATATATATGTATATATATATATATATATATATATATATATATATATATATGTTATATATGTAATCTGTATATGCGTGTGTGTATGTATGTATAGGTATATATAAATGTGTATGTTTGTATACATGTGTGTTTATATATAGATGTACACACACAGAATAGATAGATGAAAAATCTCTTCACTGAAACATTTCTTTGTTATACAAATGAAAAGTAGGAGAGTAAACATCATTTTATTCTATAGCTTTCATATATAGGAACAAATTATATCAACAACAATGCTTCACATGGAACATATTTTTCTCAAGTCATTCTGTTAGGCTCTTCTATCAGCAGGGATGCCGAACTGTTCATTAGTGAAGAAGTAACTAGAAGATTCTTGGCAGGGAATGGCATCCGTCTCAGCAACACATGCGAGTGTTTTCTGGTCGAACACTGATCCTTCACTACACAGGAAGCTGGAGAAGGAAGAAAGGAAATGGATAAGGAATGGGCATGGCAAAGAAGCCTCATAAACGTTTGTTTATTGTATAGTAATTTGAGTGTATTTATTTTGATTAACTGAGGTCTGATTAAGACAAGTATTGGTGGCAAAGATGATTCATAAACGTTCACTGTATAGTGATTTGAGTGCCATTGCTTTTAATCAAGCGTATGAATTTGAATTAATTGTGGTTTGGATATGACAAGTATGTGGCAAAGGAGCGTCATAGATGATTGTTTATTGTATGATACTTTAAGTGCGCATTTTATTTAATCAATTGAGTGCTCATTTATTCTAATGAACTGTGAGGTTGGGATAAGACAAGTAATGGGCGTGGCAAAGATGCTTCATAAACGTTCACAGTATAGTAATTTGAGTGCGTATTCATTTATATTAATTGAGGTTTGGATAAGACAAGTGTTAGTGGCAAAGATACTTCTTAAACGTTCACTGTATAGTGATTTGAGTGCCATTGCTTTTAATCAAACGTGAGGTTTGAATAAGACAAGTATTAGTGACAAAGATGCTTCATAAATGTTCAGTGCAGAGTAATTTAAGTGCGCATTTACTTTAATGAACTGTGAGGTTTAATTAAGACAAGTATTAGTGGCAAAGGTGCTTCATAAACGTTCACTGGATAGAGATTTGAGTGCGCATTTATTTTAATGAGCTGTGAGGTTTGGCTAAGACAAGTAATGGGCGTGGCAAAGATGCCTCATAAATGTTCTATATAGTACTTTAAGTGCGTATTTATCTTAATCAACTGTGAGGCTGGGAAACTGCCTTTACCTGTACTGGGAGGTCTCAGTAGCACCGTTAGCGAAGAGCGCAGGGTAACAGACGTGGTAGATTCGACACGAGTTCTCCTGATCGGCATAGTACCCATAAGGACGACCCTGGCAGGTGAAGGAGGTCGAGATCTTCCCCAGCAGCTTAGATGCTTCAGCCGGAAGACCCAGGGGCTCAGCAGTTCCCCCGCTTGAGCCAGAAGAGCCAGGTTGGAACCCACTTACAGCACCTGTCCTGAACCGATTGCCACCTGAACTAGACTGAAGACCGCTGCCGCTCGAAGCAGACTGGAATCCTCTGCTGCCCGAACTTAACTGAGCACCTCCTCTTGAGCCAAAGGGAGAGCCACTACTAAATTGGGATCCAGTTTTTCTCGAATTTGATTGGAAACTACTTCCTGAATTGGGCTTGAACCCTGCTCTTGATTCTGTTTGGGATCTACCATTACCGAAATTCTGTTGGAAATTGCTAATACCTGTTCCAGCCTGGACTCTTGTGCGACCTAGACTAGACTGGAATCTATTGCTTCCTGACTGTAATGTATTCCTTCCTGAACCGGTCTGTAGCCTACTACTTCCTGAACCAGACTGTAACTTATTGCCTCCTGAACCAACCTGTGAACTACTGCCTGAACCAGCCTGTAACCTGCTGCTTCCTGAACCAGCCTGTAGCCTACTGTTGCCCGTCTCAATCTGCAACCTACTGCTTCTTAATCCAGATTGTAACCTACTGTTTCCTAATGCAGACTGTAACCTACTGCTTCTGAACCCAGCCTGCAATCTACTGCCACCTGACCCTGTCTGTAACCTACTGCTTCCTAAACCAGCCTGTAAGTTATTGCTATTTGAACCAGATTGGAACCTACTGCTGCCTGAACCAGTCTGTATCTTGCTCCTTCCTAACCCAGCCTGTAAGTTCTGGCTGCCTGAACCTGCTTGTAAGTTACTGCTGCTTGAACCAGCCTGTGGCCTACGGCTTCCTAACCCAGCCTGTAAGTTTTGGTTGCCTGAACCTGCTTGTAAATTACTGCCTATTAGCCCAGTCTGTAACCTACTTCTACCTGAATCAGCTTGTAATCTGCCTGGACCAGCTTGAACTCTTGTGCCACTTGAACTTGACTGGACTTTGTTGTGACCTGAACTTGTCTGCAAGCCACTGCTACCTGAAGAGCCAGGCTGCAGTTTCCTGTCACTTGAACCAACCTGCAAACTACCTTGATCAGCCTGTATTCTGCTACTCAAACCAGCTACTACTCTACTGCCTGGACCAGCTTGAAATCCATTAGTATTTGAACCTGACTGGAATTTGCCATTTCCTAAATCAACCTGTATTTTACTAATCCCTGTATCAGATTG